ACAACAGGGAGCTACACCAGCGCTGGAGGGGCTTCCTCTCATGCCTTGCCTTGGAAGGGCCCTACCACCCTGAACACGCCCACCTGATCTCATCCAACTCACACCTTGCCTTGGTTCCTTTTCTCTAGTCGCTGGGACAAAATACCCGACACCCAAAATCAAGGAGAAGTTTATATGGCTCACAGTTTATTCAGATTTCAGTCCATAATTAGCTGGCTCCAGGGCAAAGAGGCACATGGCAGAGGCCGACAGTTGAAGGTGGTGCAAAACAGAAAGCAACAGCGCAAAAGGGCAGAGCAGTCCTGGAGAACGCGCCTCTCTTCTGCCTTTATACTGCACTCGGGCTGTCCGTCCAAGAGCGGTGCAGCACTCACACCTGAAATCCCAGCACTGCTCCGAGTTCCTCACAAGTTCTCGAAACCTGCTCCGTGACCACATGAGGCTGGGGTGGGACATCACACAGGTCATGACCCCCCACAGGGCCAGGTACAGCAAGTGAGTGATCACTGCCCTAGGTAGCTCCTTGAGGATTCGTACTAGAGAAGGGGGGGATAGCAACAACTGCAGGAAGCCAGACAAACACAGAGCAGCCATTTCCTGCTGCAGCTGACTCTTTTCTAGATCCTTCCTTCCTTTTCCCAGGTTTTCTTGGGAGAAAAAAATCACATGCTGTGCTGGATCTGCCCTGGGTGCACTGAGCCAGCCAGCCACCAAGACAAGGAGCGGCGACACACACCTGTAATCTCAGCACTAGGGAGGCTGAAAACAGGCGCATCACTATGAGTACAAGCTGTGTAGTTAGATCGTGTACCAAATACATTAAATTTTTTTTTCTAATTATTTATTATACTTAGAAGTAAAATTTGTTCTGGATAAGAAATCTTATATCATGAGGTCATGAAGATATGCTTATCTTTTAGAAGTTTAATTGTATTAACTTTTATATTTAGATCCACAATCCATTGGGACAAACGTTTGTGTGTGGTGCAGGGAGGAGTGAAGAATTATTTTTGCCCACATAAATGTCCATTGTACAATACTGCTGTGGTTAGGGGTTCTGCAAGGGGAAAAATACATATTTTATAAGATTATTTGTAACAGTCACTCAAAGAATCATACACAAAAAGAGTGCAGGAAATCTGTCCACACACTAAAGACAAGAACGCAGCTTGGAGCCTGGATCCCACAGCAATGTCCTGCTCGAGTCTGAAGACCTAAGTGCGTAGCAGTGCCTCCTGGGAGTCCAGTTGGAAGCCCGGAGCGCATGACGCTATCTCATGCAGGCTGCTTTGTGGGTCTGCCCTTGGAAGGCCCTAAGGTCAGTGGTGGAAGCTAGATTTCATCTGTACCAGCAGGCTGAGGGATCTGGACTGGGGGGCAGGGGTGACACTCCACGTAAGCACCAGAGCTCCCCGAAAGTACCACAGCCACCTCAGCAACATTGAGGCCTTGAGCTCCTCCGATGCTGCGCAGTGCTGAGCTCTCATCAGGAAAGCCAACTCGACAGGCTTCCCCTCCAGAGCCAGGAAGCGATGCTCAAGCTGAGGACCAGAGCTCCCCCAAGGTGAACCACAGCCATTCTCAGTGATAACAAAATCCCGAGCTCCTCCTCTGACAGGAACAGCCATGTCCACCAGGAAGGCCAGCAGGACAAGGTCCTCCAGCAGAACAGCCCAAGAGAACCAGCTGCTTCCAGCAGCTCCCCAACAGCACCACAGCTTCCCTAACAGGCTCCAACAGCTTCTCTGGTTCTGCCGCTTATGCTGCAGGCACCAATCCTCAGCTGGGCCTCCACACCCAGCACCACACTAGCTCAGTTCAGCTGGGGGTAACAAGCTGTCAATCCACCACAAACACCAGGCGCTGCAATTCTCTCCCCTCACTGCTCCGCAGCCTCACCTTGGTCATACACCAAGCAGCAGAGTGCCCTTGATTTTGAATTCTACACCTTGATCTACTACTGGCCTACTGTCAGTCCTTTTGCCGTGTTTTAAACAGATACGTAAGTCCTCAACTGTACTTCATGAATATTCTGGATATTATTTTTCTTGCGGGGAGAGTGTGGACTTACTGATATTTACTGACAATTGAAGAAAGCTCCATGTTCATATAAACTAACATTAATGAGAATGAGTAAAATTTCCTTTAATTACCAGAAGGATCGGGAATAATAGAACAAGTTTCAATTCCTAAAACACCTGAGGATCCCTTTACCAGCTCCAACTCTCCCAAATCCAGGAACGTCTGCAAGGCAATGCTGGCGGCCACTGTATTTTCACTTACGCACTTCACAAATACTGCTGAGTGCTTGCTATAATACAAGGTGCTCTGTGCATCAGGGACCCAGAACCACAAACACAGTCCTGGTGCTTACAGAGCCTGTGCAGGGCAGGCTGGGCCAGACAAAGGCAGATACACACACAGAACTATTTTTGATTCTATAGCATTTTCATAAAACTTTCAGAATGTTTATTAGCATAAAAATACTATTTTTAAAACATGGTTCAATCTAGGGAGAATGGACAACTTCATAGTATATAAATTTTCCAATTGTAATGCCTTCTTTATTTGGATTTCCTCTCAATGTATTATGGTTTTATGGTACTGTTTCTGAAATATTTGTTAGATTTATTCCTAAGTAGTTGATATTTTTAAATGTACATGCTATTTTTTAAAAATATAATTTTCAGGGCTGGTGAGATAGCTCAGTGGACAAAGTGCCTGCTTAGGCAAGCACAGGGATCAGGGCTTGATCCCCAGCACCACATGCTGTGCTGGATCTGTCCTGGGTGCGCTGAGCCAGACACCGAGACTGGGAGTGGCGATGCACACCTGTAAGCTCACCACTAGGGAGGCTGAAAACAGACACATCACTACGAGTCCAAGCTGCGTAGTGAGATCGTGTGCCAAATACATTAAAATTTTTTTCTAATTATTTATTATACATAGAAGTAAAATTTATTCCTGAACACTGGTTATAAGCTTATCAAAAATACTTTGAAATCAACCAGTTTGACTAGTCTTTTGGTGGCTTACTGTGTACATAATCACAGTGGGGAGAAAGAAAAATCACTGCAAGCAATATACTCATTTTTTGTCCCTTACTGTAGAGATCATCCAGTATAAACGGAAATTATGAGGGCTTTCTTTGATGTGTCCCCAAATTCAGGAGAAAATCATTATTCACTGTTAAATGTTATTTTCACTATAGGTTTGTTATAGAGCCTTCAAAATCAGATTAATTTGGTCCCTTTATTCTCATTTTGATAATGCAGTGATTATTGTTTTGTATATTTTGAGGCCATATTATCGAAGTTAGAACTCTTCTATTTTCTGGACAGATATTTATTCTCAGAAAACGCTCATTATATTCTTGCCTTAAGAAATAAGTTGGCAGGCCTGGCATGGTGGCACAGGTCTGTAATCCTAGGAAAGGACTCAGGAAGCTGAGGCAGGAGCATTGCCAAGAGCTTGAAGCCCACCTGGGCTACAAAACAAGTCCAAAGCCAGTCTGGACTGCACAGCAAAACCCTGTTTTAAAAAGACAACAATAGGAGACTGGGGAGATGGCTCAGTAGAATAAGCGCTTCCCTGGCAAGCGCAAGGGCCTGAGTTCAATCCCCGGTTCTGCAAAAAACAAAACAAAACAAAAAGACAACAATAATTAAAAAAAAGTTGTCAGTTATTTTAAAAACTCAACCCATGCCTTAACTGAACTATTTAGATGATTTATGTGTTACAGATACATTTATAATTTAGTTATGACTGAATTCAATTCTCATTCTCTTATCCTTGACTTTGGATGAATTAATCAAATACTGTTTCATTTCCCTTATCAGCTAGCTATGATTTTATAATTTTTAGGCCCAATTCTGTGCAAGGCTCAATACACACTTTATCTCATGTAATTCTCAAGACAATACCACTATACAAAAACATGCAGAGGACATTCAACTTCTGTGACATGCAGCCCTTTGTGGATGAACCATTAAAACAGGTATTAGATTATATTTTCTTTGGATTATGCACCTCCTTTTATAAAATGAAAACATAGACTACAGTCTGTCTAGAAATTTAAATAATAAAACTATTCATTTAAAGAGACAAGGAGCACACTATCTTTTTAAGACTGAATGCTAATAATGAATAGATATGTATTCATTTCTAATACTGTCTCACGAGGTCAATGTGAAAATAAGTACCAAACAAATAAGCAAAAATATAATGAAACTGGGCAAATGTTGATACTGAATATAAAAACAACGGAACTATATATGTGCTTCTGCTTAAGTGTTAGAAAATATACTTAGGGAAAAAGGACCACTAATAATCTGCTATACACTGCATTGCAAGTGATTGACAGTCTAAAGTCTCAGTATCATTTAAGAAAATACATCCTTTGGCTCTGTAAACAACTCTAGATAGCAAACTGGAGGCACAAGGACCTTTAAAATCACATTATAATTTGGGGAGGTGGTTCCTGGTAGAGTACATACCTAGCATGCGCAGGTGTAAGGCTTTGACCCCAGCAAACCCTAGCACCAAAGCCAAAGTAAAACAAGAATGATCCATTATCAAATTAAATAAAAACATTGTTGGATGTATAAAAACATTAAAATACGTTACTTATATATGAATAACAAGGAAAATATAAGTACACTAAATTTTATTGGAACAACCCACATATTCTGACTTGCCACCTCAACAGTGAATTAAATCACTCAGCATATGGTCAAACTCAGGAAAACAAATGCCAAATACTCAAAAAAATTTAGATACATAAAAATGTACTAAATACTTTGAAAATTTGGGAAAAAAACATAAAATAAGTACCTTAAAATATATCTCTGAGGTATAATAAAAAAATATGGTGCATTTGCATTTTAATTAATATACACACTGCCACTATCCCCCTCAAAATACTTCACTTTGACCACACTCATGCCATCGTTCTTTTACTATTTAATATTTTATGAAAAAATAAAACTAAATTTCATCACAAAATAATGAAAACAATAGTTAATACCCTACGTAACATCATCTTCAAAGCAACTCCTCAGAGGACAAGAGATGTCGCTTTCTGAAGCAGCGTTCAAAGTCCATTTTCCCGGAGTGTCCTTAGTTGTGCTGTGGAGACTGCCTGATGTCTTCGACTGATTCCAATGCTCACCCTTCACGGTCATTCTGAATCTGGGGATGAGCCAGCAGCCCCAGGGTATCACATCTGGTGAACAAGGTGACTGAAGACACGCCGTCTTTAAAGCTGACGGCACCTCTGCAGCTGTAGTCACTGCATTGCTGATGGCACTGCATGAAGACATTTGCAAGACCTCCATGCTGCTTCAGAAATGGCCAAGAGTGATGGGAGATGCATGTGCAAAGCAAGGGAAAGCATTCTGAGGAGGATTAATGTCAATGAGTATTGTGCTGCAGGACAGTTTTAAAATTTAAGGAGTCAATGTATATTTTAATTTTTTTTTCTTTTTGCGGTACCAGGGATTGAACTCAGGACCCTGCACTTGCCAGGCAAGTGCTTATTCTACTGAGCTATCTCCCTGGCCCCCTATTTTAACTCATACACAAACACAGTCTGCCAAAAGATGTATTATATATCAGGAAAAGAGAAATTCCTATGTCTTAATATTAAATTTATTGATACCATGAGATTTATAATTTCATTATATTTGGCCTCTACAATTATAAGAGATGCTTAATAGTGGTGAACTCAAGTTATATACATTTTTTTCAGTCTCTTTACACACACACACACACACACACACACACACACACACCCCAAATTAGGACAGAATATTTGAATCATGCCAATGAATCAACCTGCTGATTACAAAAGAAAAATTGTACTTTATAATGGAGTGATGCAGCTGGCTATCAGCACCTTGACCACATGAATGTGTCACCAATCCTGGAAAAACTTGGAATTATACGAGTCCTGATGCAATATAACAAAAAGCATACAATACCACCTATCTAGCATTGACAAAAGCATTTAAGAAGAACCTAAGTGTAAGCAAACAATGATCTAGAATGTAGGAAATTTTATAAGACACGTAGTCTAGACCAGACAGTGGTGGTGAAGCTGTGGCACACCTGTTGCAGCGGGCTGCTTACTGAACCCTAAAAGGTTGCCATCGCTACTCCAAATGCTTCAAAAAAGACAAAGTAAGAAACTTTGGTTTATGCACGTAAGCAAAAAATAAAAATGTATGGGGAATGCACTAGATTACACAATGCAAAACAGGAATAATCAAATTCAGTTCAGGCCCTTGGCTGGACCCTGATCCTCAAAAATGGCTGTGAGAAATCTGACTAACTAAAATCACATTTTTCTCTGCAGTACTGCAGATTGAACACTGTGGTACTCTATGCTTGAACCACATCCTCAGCTCTCTTCTGTTGCCGCTAGGGATCAAAGGTAGGGCCTCTTGCATGCAAGGCAAGAACTCTACCACTGAGTCCCAGCTCAACCCTTGTTTTGAGACAGAGCCTAAGTAAGTTGCCCAGGCTGCCCTAGAATTTGAATCTTCTTGCCTCAGCCTCCCAAATAGCTGCGTTTGTATGCATTTGCTGCTACACCTGGCTCACTATTTTTTAAGGTGCAATATGCTATTAAGCACTTTCAAGTATATTGAGGTAAAGTATGATAGCTACGATATTCTTTCAAATAAGTAGATTCTGAGTAAAACTGAGAATTATTAGCATGCACAAGTGCAAAATTATAACACACTGATAACTGGTTAAACACAGATGTATATTCACTATTTATTCATTGTACTAATCTTCCGATTTTCTATAGGTTTCCAAAAAAAGCAAAATAACAAGTTGGAGAAGTTACAAACACTAGTTTTCTTTTCATTCAGGTCAAGATATATTATTTTCCTCTCCCCTACAAAAAGAATGTGTAGGGACAAAGTAAGAAAAACAATTTCTAGTACATTTTTCAACTTGTGATGAAATTATTAACTTTCTGAGAAGGAAATGTACTCAGAAAATTCAACTTTCTCCCCAGAGATAAGATGTGCAGTACTAAAACCTCGTTAGCAGACGTATTCATAGCAATAGAATATGCTTGACTCCAATCTCTTCAATCTCCAGCGGTACAGGAACAGCAGGCATACCCAAAAGGCAACCAGCTAGACAAAGCATCACACAACACCAGGACAGACTTCATAAGTTAAAGGCCCTTAGATCCATGGACAGATAGGCTTCAGCAAACACAGGGACCCTTAGAAGCAAACGACAGAACTGCACATGAATGTCACTTTGGAAGGAGAGGTCCTATGGAGAGGTCCTACAACTTCCATCAGCTCCTCGATGAATCCTATGGCTCAGACAATATTGAAGAACTACTATTCCCCAGAAAAATAATATTCAAGATAGAATTTCATATGATGCCTTCTATAGTGACAAGTATTTAAGATAATTTTCTAAACTTCTGTTAGCTTTTTTACTAAAAAGATTTTAGGAACAGTACATAAATAATATCAAATTAAAAAATTATAATTAAAATAATTTTCAAAGCCATTTGAATAATTTGGGATTTAGGAATTAAAAAAGGGGTTTGCTTATAATTAAGATTCTTCTTAGACTCCTTTTGTAATTTTAAAAAAACATACCGTTGAGGTGGTGTTCGTGGACTTTTAAAGACTGCGGCTTTGGGTCTATCAGAATTGGTGCGCTGCACTTCATCTTGATATAATTCTGCGAGGGCCATCTGTGGGGTAAGAGGCTTGTCATGAGGCGTAATACTGGAAAGAAATTCTACGCAATTTATGAGTAGAGTGCAACTTGAAATTGAGCAGTAAAGATCTACTATGGAAAAATGAAGGCTGTCACTTCAAAAGATAACTCACTTTCAAATATAGTCAACTTCATGTCTCACAGAACCAAATGTCACATGTTAGAGTAAACTCAAGTTAAATAACTTTATTTCCCATCAATTTACTTTTGAAAGTTTCAAAACTACCTTAGGTTATCAATCACTTCAAATCTGGCCCTACACGACCCTCTTCCAATCTTTTAAGAATTCTCAGAGCTGTCTGGCACTAACGTTTACTCCTTTCAGCAGGTCTCAAGAACGATTTCATTTACCTCTTTTCACACTCCACGTTCATAAAACATTTTCAAAAGTATTGCTTAAAAATCTCTCAGACAAAGGGCGGGCCAAACAGATCAGTGGATTAAAGCGCCTGCAAGTAGCAGCAGGGTCCAGGGATGTCAGCTCTGGGCCTGCCGTGCCGGCCCTGCTCCCAGGGCGCTCTGGCGTGGTGGTGTGCACCTGTAATCCCAGCTCTTGGGAGGCTCTAAGCAGGAGGATCACTATGAGTCTGATCTAGTATTGAGACTCTGAACACCCTGTAGACCCTTCCCTAAAATACAGAAAAAAAAAAATCCCCCAAAAAACAAAACTACTTCCAGACATAAATGCGAACTTTAGCACTTGAGTTCCTGGAGAATATAAAACATTACACACATGGCTTATACAGTATATCACTTGGAAAGTAGTATTATGAATGTATATTATATAGTATAGCTACATATCTTCAAAATGAAATAGCTATAATTATTCCTGAAATGTTACTTCAAAATAATGTTCCAAATACTTCAGTGTTTACTTATTTTTCCTGACTTCTGAGATCTTTGAACAATAATTCAAAGATTTATTCCTAAAGTTTCTCTGGATATTCAGTTACAGTGGGCATGACCATGAACTGGCTGCCTTTTCTCCCAACATACAAAAATTAAAACAAAATAGATAAAGTGCTCCTTTTGAGAGCATGAAATACATGAAAACTATCCCTATGCATTCTTTCTTCAGTAGGAAAAAAAACAACAACTGAGAATGAGGGCAAAATGAGTTGCTTGTAGCGCTGGGGCAAATACTACACCATTGGGCTATATCCCAGTTTTTTTCTGAAAATTCTACAAATGAACCTTCAAAATCTATACACAAAAAGACAAAACTGAAAGATTCCATTTTTAACTATTTTTTAATTCAACTCTACTTCATGACCTTATACATGTATCAACTTGTATTTCTTTTTTTAAATTTTATTTTAAGTTTTCAATAGATTGCATGCTGAAAATAACTTACAACCGTAAGTGAATATAACAATAAAAATTGTCCAAAATAAAAATGAAGAATTTACAGATCAGTCATAATAGTTCACTGTGTCAAAACCAAGAAACTTATATTCATATAATTAGAATTCTCAAAGTAGAAAGGAGTAGGCAATAAATATTTAAA